CGGCATACGAGATCAGGGCATAGTCGCACGAATTATATTGCGTCCTTCGATTGGTGGATCGGACAACCATTGGCTGACTCGTTCTGCAGTCATATAATCCAGATTCAGCCTGCCTGAAATGTCGCCGGCGTGCGTGTGGCTTGACGCGGAGGCGTGCGTGACCTGATGGGTTAAGTTCTGTCCTCTATTGCACATTGTCAGTTAACCCTTTTCCATGGCAAACTCCTGTCTGTCGACGGTACCAACTCACACCGAGATTCCGCCCACATTCGGTTGTCTGATGCATCGGTTCACGGGAGAAATCTTGCCACATGAAGGAGTCCAAGTATTGAAAAAAGCACAAAATGGTTGCCGCACTCTAGTTGCCTTGGTCTCTCCCCAAACTATGGGAATGCCGCTTGTAAATACAAGTTTACCGGAAACTTCCAAAAGTAACCTGGGTACCCCCACCTTCTCCATATTCTTCAAATCGAACTGGACGGATGCCATCGTTTTTCCCCTTTTATCTTAATGAACCAATAACGTTCGTTTCTATCGGATATTTAAACACACCTAACTGTAAATACATGAACACGAAGATAAGAAAATAATCTTCTTCCCTATATTTTTATTACCATCACGATTATCAATGGGTGGAAATTTGAGCTGAGGTTCTCGTGATTTCCGCTCATGCAACTGTATCACGCAAAAATTATACCTGGTTTGACTGAAGTGTACGAAAATGTCATTATTGAGCCTCGAGGCCACAGTTTGTTTAGAGGGTGGGCGTATTATGGTGAACAGTGTACTTTGACGAAAAACAGCTGCTTTATTACTGGAGAAAATAGAGATCCTGTCTCAGCGGAATTTTACGTGCTTCTTTGCAGTTTGATGACGACCGGTCGTTTGAAAACCAAGTGTGACAGAGGGTCAGTTGATGCATATATTAATCGAAGAGATGAATACATTACTCATATTTAACTCGCCCTATTTGCAAGTAGTGGTATGGACCAGGTGATGTCATTTTGGAAAGGCCATCCTTCAAACGATTAGGAAAGATGACATTTGAACAAATGTGAATTGATAGTTCTGCTCAGACCGACGTGAGACGGTGGGCACAAAGTTAACGCATACGCCTTTCATGCGATCGGTCTAGAGTTCAAACTCTGCCCAAGATGAAAAAGGTGTGCCGCTGAGTAGCCTTAATGTGAGAAATACTGGAATCTCGTGGTTCCTCAGCGTATGGTTGACTCGATAAGCTGAGCATTGTGCTTAAAAATCTAGTCTTAAGGATTGTAAATCTGAGTCATTCATTATTTTCCCAAATTTATTTTGGAGTTTCAACAGTTATTTATATTATTATTTACACCAATATTTACAGGTACGGCGCCAAAGATAACCATGAGTGAACGAAAAAATATAGATATGAAAACGGGGAAAATGAAACAGTCAACTTCGAGGATTAACAATATTTTTTTGTTTGTTCACTGCATACCATTTAGATTTTTTTTTCGTTTTTGTTTATTTTTGGGATTGTAGACAAGAGGTGATGCATTCGCGCCACTGACTTCGGTTGGATGGCATATCCCGCATGTCTCCAGTCGAAGACGATCTGAATTTTTGGGGCCTCAGCCGGGGAACCGAGAAACCCCAACGGAAGCCAGATCCGAGCACAATCTCTTCAACCCTCTGCACCACGTCCTAGCCTGTCCACCTCGTTGTTTCTTCCAGCCTGGACAGATGTCTGCGAGTAGCGCACGGTGTGGCAGACGGTGCTCACGCATTCGTAGGAAGTGCAGTGAAGTGCAGAGAGATCACGCACAAATAAGCGAGTTTGACATCCCTTACTTTGCTTTATTACAGTGACCAACTAATTGTCTGACCACAATTCGACCGAGTTATTCACCTTCCTTTACATGTGTCTGGCCGAAAAGACTGCATTTTATTGCCTTGGGAGTAGTCGAGAACATGCGTTCGCCTGATGGACCTGTTTTTAGTTCATTTCGTAACCGATAGTGAAATTGTGGTCATCCTAATTGATTGTTTGTGGCAATTCGGTGATCTCTATCTTGAATGGGGTTCAATACAAATTTATCTGCGTCATTCGGACGGAAAAGATCGCAAAATACCAACAACACGAGGAAACGGGATACCCAATAAGGAAACAAACAAAATAATACTTGAGCACTATTTTTTTTAAGGAATCATTCAAATCCATGCAAAATCAGCACAGGCCGAATGCAACCATATTCGATGTCCAATCACAGCCTTTGTTATCATGCATGGAATTTGAAGACAAATGAGAGAGAGAGATGGAGACAAAAAATAATGGATTATGGCTTGCAGTTCCAAGCCCTTGTATAAAATGGTGCAACAGGAACGGTCAAACGAAATCCTGAGTGGATAAATTACATTGATGGTGGGGAAGAAGATTGTAGCAGTTGATTTACGAGAGGTTGGTGTTTTGCCAGTAATTGTACAGCAAATATACGTGTATGTGCTTGCGCCTTCTGAACCGTGCTGATTGAAAAATAAACCGCTGACAAAACCGCTGTTCGTCGATGCAATAAAATAATGCAGTAATACGAATGAAGACCAAATGCGGCGCTGTTTGAAGATGTGTATGTTTGTGTGTAGAACGCAAATTAAGGATCAAACGGGGTAGTGGAGTGGTGTCAATGAGAGACAAGTGATCGTTGTATAGTTCACCTGGGATCAGCAATCGATTCATTCACAATTCTGTTTGTTCCGTCGGGTCATTTTCTCTGTTCACGCTCAACGCGGATACTACTATACAGTGAAGATCATTATTCTCCAAATTATCAGCTGGTGTGTACTCCGGATTGTGCGGATCGTAGCCCACGAATTTATTTTTCGGGAACAATTCCTTTTTCCGACAAAGTGCAACTCCGTTGGACACCAACAGAATGATGAATAAAACCACCCACTGTAACAGAGAGGTTAAAAATGGGAATTCGGGGAAACTGTTCATCCGCTTAAGAGATTAAGGCATGGACTCGCGTAAATAGGTATCAAAGTTTGAATGTTTATATATCGTCTAAGAATTCAAGAGTACTGGACAACATTGCTAAACAATGGTTGTCCGGACAGGTTTATAGATATTCACAGAAGACAATTCCCAAAAATTAACCCATCCCTAAACGTCAGCATAAAAGCCGTCTACTTCAAGCTTGCTTTCAAATGTGACCACATTTACAATGATGTGCGCCATCAGCTGAAGTCGGCTCTAGACCGTACATTCCCAGCAGCTCAACTCAAACTCCTTGACTCTATTCGTGGAATTGATTTGGAAAAACGTGGCTGGCAAAACAGTTCCGTCTTACACACTGTATACCAGTTCACTTACAGTTGCGGTGACGCATACATAGGCAGAACAAACCGTTAGCTTTCACAACGGATGACCGAACATATTCCAAGTTGGTTGGTGAAATCGATGACGCAACCGATAAATGATGGCAAAGTGATTACAAGGAATGCAGGATCATCTGTTGCATCTGTTGCAAAACATGTCATGGCAACAAGACACACAGTTGACCCTAATTCTTCTTCCAAACTACTATAACTTAATCGCAATGCTAAACTTTTGGCGATTAGAAAAGCACTGCTTATTAGATTACATCACCCGACCTTGTGCGCACAGACGTTTTGATGCAAGCAATCCACTTACCGTGGAGTTGAACTTTTACTTCTAAATTTAGTAATCGTTGTATGCTTGTACACGTTCGTTCACCATAATTGATTAATCCCATGTGTCATGTATGTGCCTGTTTGTTTTAAGTCAGCGACTGAGAAGATTAAACGAAATGTTAACATCGCGCAACATTTGTCTTCTTTCTGTTTTGATGAAATGGATAAAGGGAACCTGATGTTTCAAACTTTGATGTCAAATAAAAGCCAAAGTTGGCAAACGCTGATGCAAGATTACTGATTATAAACGAAAACCAGAAACCATTTCACTGAGCCCTTGCTGTCGTTTGAGCACCGTCATAGAAAAATCTATAAGAGAATGACGGCATACATATTTGACAGCATGGAGCGAGCAGTATAATACCTTTTTACGGTTCTCGTAATATTTACGAATGAGGCCGACTGTAGAGTGATAAAAACACAGAATATTTATGAGATTATTCACTGTAATCCTAATAAAACCGGCTACAAACGAGAAGATGATTTGATGTATAAAGAAAGTAGTTCAAACTATGCTGGGAGTACTCTGTTCCACTGGCGAGATAAAAAGTTTTGAATATCTATGTCAGAAATCGTGGAACGCGGGCTAAAACGTTCAGCTGGAAATGAGTGGCTATTTGCGGCGTCCTGTTTACATGTGAGAATGCAATAAAACTGTGAGCGCTTCAGTTTCTCAGTCTCAATCTACAGAGCCGCGATTTAGAGACGTTCAAAATCTCCAAACCGATACTTAAAAGAAGCAAATATGAGCGATTTCTTGTCAAAATTTTACTTCCTCCATACTACGTCTTTCTCTACCCTCTCAGAACANAGAACATCTTGCTATCTGTGCCCCAAAGGGTGTGGGAGCTGCCCCGTGAGAAGCTCACTGAATTCCCGAACCCAATAACGAGCAACAGTAAATAACATTTGTATCAGCAGTTAGTCATGTTAAACTCTGCTGCTATTTGTTACAACTCAATCACTCACTCAACCAATCAATCAATTTACAAATTTTGTGTCGTGAGGAGTGCAACCGGTTAAGGCCACCTTACCACGGGCGACAGTACTCCACAAACGCAAGCTATGAGCCACCTTCATATCTCAACTGTATGCCTAACAGCTTCACAGTGTATTTCACCAGTTTTTTTGCGATTTACTGAGAAACCAATATGCTAAAGTATTTTGTCTATAAAAATGTATTTTCGAACTCGTGTAGATAGGCGCCTGCTCGTGCGGTCGATATACGTTGCTCCACAGGAACACGTAAACTGGTACACACACTATGAGACCGTACAAGCAGGAATCCTGTCTTTGCGTTGCAAACACAAGATCGGTCTGGACGTGATTACGATGTGTAATTTTGTCTTCGTGAAAAGTATTCTCCAACGCAGTTCCTAGTTTGCGGTTAACCAATGTTGTTATTGTATCCCCTTTGAATGGGAGAGAAATGTATACTGCCTTCTTCTTTGCACTTGAAAGTCTTCCCTCGGACGATTATTTCTTAAAGCGTTATCCACAAAACGTTCTAGTTAGCCATTTCGTAGGAACACATCACAAATGAATGATAAATCTGCATTTATGGTGTCATCGGTGCGTATTTATACCGCCCTGTTTACCAAACACTGAATAACGTTTTCTTTTCGTTTGAGTGGCATAACGCTTCCGAAATGGATATATTGACCGCCCCAAGTCAGTTTCCTATAAATCGACCTCTGAATAGAACCATCTGTGCGATGCTTTAGCCAGATATCGAGAAAACCAATCCTGTCATTAACCTCTTCTTCCAATATGAATTTGATATTAGGATGAGCGGAATTAAATATCCTGAGCAAGTTGAAAACCTTGACGTTACTGTCCACAAAACATAATGTCATCGACATATCGTCTGTACAGCTTACATCGCCTAATCGTAGACTTCAAAACAATTTTTTCTAACTTGGACATGAATAAATCCGCAAATAAGGGACCGAGCGGGGATCCCATTGCGACTCCATTCTTTTGACGATGGATTTCTTTATTGAACTTGAACTGAACGTTATGTGTGGAGAAGTACAATAGCTGTTTCAAGTCATCCAGGGGTATTGCAATTTCGATATTCTTTTCCTGGATTTGGTCACATAAACACTCAATGGTCTCTGCGATAGGAACACTAGTGAAAAATGAGCTAACGTCCATGGATATCATTCATTGGCCATCCAAATTTACGCTTATTTACACGAGTTCGGGAACATCATCCAGCCTGGCCGAACATTGATGTGATTAAAAATATTACAAGTACCATCGATTCACACCTCTACGAGTCCGATTACACAGTGACTGAAGCATTTCGGCCTCCCTATTGTGTTCGAGGTCGCAGATCAAAGACGATTAAAAATCGCATCCTAGCCACGGTAGAGGTGGTTGAAATTCGTCTACATAATCCCCGCTTGTGCGCCCAAAAACAGTTTGTGAATTCACTCAACCTACCATGGCCCTCCACCTCCCACCCTCATCCTCCCCCAACTCCTCCTCCCCCTCCTAATCCCACCCCAAAACACACAATTAACACGGATCAAGTTCCGTTGGCAGGATCAGCCATATCCGGTTTTGTGAAATTGGGACAGAAAACAGTAACATTAATTCTCATTTGAATGATCATTAGTTTTGTTTCCTCTTTTCTATACAAAATGATGTGATCTAAAATGTGACTTATTAGTCAGTTGATGAGTCACCGAAAACAAGTTTTTACGCTAAACTGCGTTTTTCATTCAATGTGTGTCGCTGGTATATTAGGGAAATTAAAACATGCATTCATTTATAAGTCCCCGGGGACGAAGTAACGAAAACAAGCATGCTCGCATAAAATTTGTTCTGCAAAAACTACAGAGTGAATAAAACCGAGTGGTTGATAAACTTCCCAAATCTATCAGCTTTGATACATTATTGCCGGAACCGTCTGAAATACATGAGTCAATAGACAGATAGAAGTGTCCTTTTAAAGTCAGAAAGCTGCGTGGTCACGCCGAGCCTCTTTTTCGCTTGGTGCGAGTTTGCGGTCCTGTTGAGTATATGATATTAACTCAATTAGCACAAGACAACTTGATCAAATATTATCTGCTTGTGTCAATTTATCTGAGTTCACTTGTTTTGCAAAATGGAGGATCTGGTATGGTGAACCATGTGTTGGCTGGCTAAGACCGACCCGACTCAGTATAATTACAAGGTCTTGAATAACTGACCCCACTCCCAAAGCTACATCAAAACAGTGTTTATGGTTGCTCGAAATTTCATCATCGACATTCTACCAACAGCTTCCAAGTTTTTTGATCCAGCAGTCGGCTCATTGCTTTAACCTCCAAAAACCAATGTATAAGCTGACATATATTTTTCAACTTTCGGTACTTGTTGTAAGGGATGTTTTGAGAGTAGCCTAAAACCAAATCTGAATAATGTGGAAAAACCTTACGTTTTAAAACCTCTTTGTAAAGTATATTAATTTCAGAACAAATACAACTTCCTATCGGGCTAAGTAGTATACCAAATTATATTACCCATTACTCTAAGGAATGAAGGAGAATGTCCAAGATACTGGCTAGCACTCACTTCAAGCAAAGTTGTCGTCATGGAGTCCAGAGTCAAATGGTACCAGTACACACTGGAATGGACTAGGTCGTACGCCCACCAAACAATTAATCCAATTCCACACAATGGGACCAGGACACTGTAGTGAAGAAAGAGACAGACAAATTGGTTGAACGAATTGGTTAATAGAGCTTGAAAGATGCGCGCTCAATGCAGTAGAGAGGTCGTACCATACCTAATGAGTCAATCTGTCAAAATGTTTAATGTAAAATCTTAGTTGGACTGTTAAGAAAAAGTTGTGGATTTGAAGGAAAAGCTGCACCTACAACTGTTTGAACACTGAGTAGTATCAAAAGAATCAGGCTTAATGAATGATTAGTGGCCTTGTGAAGCACTTTTCTAACATTCAACAAACTGAACACAACTAAGTGATATTGGTGGATTAAATATGTTGTCAAAAGCACGCGTCCCAGCTCATATCGTGAAATGTTATTGGTTAGCATCACGTCAAAGTGGAGACAGTTTTGAACTCGGAAAGACATCACCGGAACAAACAACCAGGTTTATATCTGCTAACTGCTTTCGACTAACCGCCTCAAACTCTGTGAGAATCGGTTGAGCACCTTTTCATTCAGCAACAAAACGTCAAGTTAGAAATCGAAATCCAACTGTTCCTTCTGACCACAGGCAGACCGAAATACCCAAATCCAAAAGATTGTTGAACACCATTTACGTTTATTGAAATTCGGTCTTGCGAAACGCAGAAACAACCAATTATCAGTGGCTGTACACTTTACTATTAACGAATTACTTTGCCGCCTAAATGGGTACCGACAAATTTATTTTGAGATAATGGATTCATGCAGACCCATTGGTCACTGAGTTGGAACGATCTCCAGTGAAAATGTCGTAAAAATGACAGAGATATGATCATTCAGAAGAGAAATCAAAACCAACAACTCATCGTTCATGACAGGATCGCGCATTTATAGCGCATTGCAAAAGGCAGAAATTGTGCTGGGTGGTACAAAGAATTCCGCGCAAGGCTCAAAAACAACTGCATTTAGAGCTTCCTATCTATAAAGATATCCTATTATGCCGTTAGGAAGTTTAGAGTGTGCATTTCACCGCTCCATATCAAACGCATTAGGCATCGTCTATTCAGAGCTTAACACTATTGTGTTTGTTAGATGAAGATAGGAATACCGACCCATTTGATGTTTTTCGGATAACACCTCTGAATTGGACTAACTCTGCAAGGAGTACAAACCCGAAACCAGTCACGATAATCCTTCATTTCGGTAAGAAGACAAGTGACCTAAACCATGAGATATGGACATTGATCTGCACACATATGTGAAAGTATTGGTGTGGTATTCGATCGACAAGGATAAAGACCCACATAATTCCGTTTGTCACGCGACTAGTTTAAGGCGTTTACTATTTTCATGATCGGGCAAGTTCAGATGTTTCTGATATTTTATAAATTTATTGTAAGCCGCAATTCCGTTTGGTGAGATAATATGATTTGAGTGATAAATATGCTGTGTAAAACCACGAAAAACGTGAAAAAGGTCAAGAACAAAGACATAAAATCTTAGGAAAAAAATTTTTGGAATAATTCTAGCAAAATGCAATGCCGTATTACGTGAAAATAAATTGAGATTTATTCATTTTGTTCATTTGGTACCCTGTAATAATAATCAAAGTGTTAAGAAAAGATATCCCATACATCAATGTCCGATCGATTAAAAATAATGATTCAAGGGGAAACCATGGTAACAAATTGTTCAAGAAGAGCACCAATTGTTGAATTCTAACACCAGAACAAATGCGTTGGATTCATACACTGCGTGAATTAGGACGGTTTCTTGCTTTTGTTGTTCACCACTTATTCGCCATTTATCTCCCTCACCTTTCGCCAGCTAACACAACAAGGTGTACAAACCAACCGATAAACAATTTTTGAGCTGGATTGCTGTCAGAGGAGGTAGCCTAGAAAAAGGTTCCAAAATAAATCATGCCCATCCTGAGGTAACCGCGATCGAAATGCTGTTCAGCCAGGAAATTAAATCAAACGGCGTGGCAGCTACATCTGGTGAACCGGATGTCAATGTGCGTTTGCACTGGAATTGTTTGGAAACATCACGTGATGTGATATGATTTAGCCCTGAATGCAACAATAGCCCGTTCGCTCGCATGGTGTAGCGCGTAATCGTTTGTGATCTACATGATGAACATGTTTTCCCCTGCGGGTAAACGAACGTCTGTGGTGTGGAAGTGTCGAGAAGACCGGACATTTTGAAGTCAGCATGGGATAAGCAACTGACATCTACGGTACAAAAACGAGTATTTCATTCAACGCGAATACGTCCAACAGCATAAAAACAGACAAGCAGTTGCTATTTTTCAATTGATTCACCAGTTTGATAGTACTAAAGGTCCCCAAAAACTTGAAAATTACCGTCACTAATATAAAACAAATAATAAAGTGCACTGACAAAACACCCACAGTTGACAGCAACTGTTGTGAATGAATGCAGAGAGGTATCGCCTAAGTGGACCAATGATACGTGATAGACTTTAGAGATAAAGTGTTTAGATAGCAATCCGTCGTGTAAATGGTAAATAAAGCGTGAACTGAAAAGCTAGGAGGCACTGGACAGGCGTTTCGACTTGGTTGGGTCTCATCAGCAATGCGAATCCATCAACCCAACTGGAGATCAAATCCGGGACTCCGTGGGCAGAATGGAAGCATGCTACCCGCTACGCCACCCAGCAGCTGATCAGACCGTTTTTCATTTTCCATTTACACGACATAGCACAATCCATCTTTGGTAGCTTGTTTCGGGCCACAGACCCTGCTCCTCTCAGCACTAGCCTCCATGGTTATGACTCAGTTGGAAACATTCACAACCTGATTACTTATTTCATGTGAGTAATGGAGGATTTGATTCAATTCCCAATTGAAGTTTAATCAAATCCTCCATTACTCACATGAAATAAAATGTTTAACCAAGACTGCCCTGATTGCTTTTTTCACTTTTAGAACAATTTGCTTAACTAGTTGAGCTGTTTTGGTTAAAGGGTGTTCCACTGCGGCTTCTTTATGGCGTGACCTGCATTATCATCGCAAGGAAAGACATTATGAGAAAAAGTATTGACCATAGCATTATTTCGTGCAGTGTATCCAACCGGTAATTGGACATGAAAACCACAAATGATACCATGAAATGCATTTCGCAAAGATCTATCACTAAATACATTTGGATCCCGAGAGCTCAAACTTGAGTGATATTAGTTAACACGTATTCAAAGGTGTTCATACTATACATTGCTCTATACTGAATTGTTGATTCTCAAAACTTTTGCAAAAATTTTAGCAAAACACATAGAGTCTATTCAGATGGTGAACCGAATACTACTATTCAATCTGCAATCATTAAAGCGTTTATGCGAGAAAAAAGAGAGACGTACCTAATCATAAAAACCCAAACAACGGGTAATTTCCAATCGCCCACACCAAAATCGTTCACAATCACCTTTCTATATCGCATCGGTCCGTAGACAATAACCAATGTAGCCATAGCCAGACCGGACAACATGAGTGCAAATCCCCATACGGAATCCTGTCATGGAATTAAGTGTGCGACAGAAAGGGGATTAAAGAAAATGTTTTCCATATGGCTTTTTAAATATGCTATTCATCTGTCGTTTATGATTTATTTCTTCGGTCATATCCAAAAAATATGCCCGTCTTATGTAACCGGTAGACTTCACACTGCGGATCAGCACAACAACCGAGCAAATCAAACATGGCACTGATGTGAGTTGTTCGTTATCACACGATCAGGTTTCGCATCGCGTTAAGACTAATTGGATTTTTTATGCACGCTTTTTCTGGTTTATTATTCCACATAAATAGGCTACATTGATGATTTGATCACAACAAAGCAATCACAAACGTCTGTTCTTGCTGTAAGAGTTTCTTATTCTGGTAAAATTCGTTTGTGTGATTTTGAGCGATAAACTAGTGAAGTGGTTACCCCTATAAAATGTGGTGTATGGGCAACCTTGCAATATTCCGATCATATGCAAATCATGGAACTTTCGCTTTTATAAAGATGATTGTACTACGATTTGTTTGGCACACGGTCTGGAATCAGAAATGCTTGAATTGTAAATAAATCATGTTAGGTAAATATGAGAGTACGAAAGTTTCTGGAATACGAGAATGCTAGAAAAAATCTCTTGTGGACGTGTAATTCTTACCTCTCTTGACACGAATTCAAATGGGAGCATGCTGAGAACAATAAGGCAGCTATAAGGAAAAAACTGAGAGAAATTTGCCTAGAAAAGCCTCCATAGGAAACACTCTTTGATATAACTTAAGTACTAACAACCAAATTATGTGAAAGCCTCGAGATTGTTTATGTCGTACAGTGTACGCGTTTGAAGAGGATCTCAATTTAATCAGTCACTTATGCAATTTGAATACTGGGTATTGCAGATACTATTAAAACGTACCTGATTTGTAAGCACACGAATGTCCATGGCCGAGGGAAGTCCGAATGTCAGAGTGAGGAATAAGCCCANTGCAGCTTTCCGATGAGAGACTGGTAAGAAGGAAATGAGACAATATAGCGTTAAGAGATTTAAAGTAATATATAGGCTTGTGAAAATTCAAAAGCCTTTTGGAACACCAGACAGGGAGAAATTAAACTGTTTTTCTTTCTTCATCATTAATCATGGTCTATGGTTAGTTTAGCGAAAGTAAAAGGAAATATCCCGTTCGCTTTTCCTCTAAAACCAAGCGATTAACTTAGTTTGGTTCTCTCAGAGGCGACTCATCTCCTCGAGGCAACTATTGGTGGGAGTTGGAAAGGAGTTGAATTCACCAATATGTTTTTACTAGCACTGTGTCTTTGTATGTCTAAACCGGAGACGTTATGTAGTATGGGATTGATGTCAATCTTCATACTCTCACTCTGATAGTAACGGACGGTAAATTACTCATCTAAATATTGGTTGCTATGCCCAGAAGTTTTGGACAATGATCTAAAGAATTATTGAAGAATATCAGCCATGAAGACAATTCGGCGACTGATAGACATAACAAGCGATATAAAGTACGTATCACGATTTGTTTGGCACACAGTCTGAACTCAGACATGCGTGAAATATAATATGACATAATATTTGAGGCAGCACAAAAAATATATTTGCAGTCTGATTCTCAAAAAATCAAATGCTTTCTTACGGTTATTATGATTCCCAACACAACATGGACACCGCCGTTTCAAATATCATTAAAGATGTATTCAATTCGTTAATCTAAATACAGAGCATATGTTGCATTAAACTAAAATAAGCACACACAAAAAAATACTTAAAAGATTGTGCAACTGTGTTGAAGTGATGCGGTCATTCGTTTATTGTTTTAAGACAATCGCATTGGATACATTAAGAAACCCATGAATCAGTCAAAAAATGGGATGTTGGAAACTTACATCCTAAATCTTTGAGTGTGATCACAGTCAGTTGGACATGACCGATCAGCGAGGTGATCCCGGCAAAGGAGAGACATAGAAAGAATAACACACACAATACCCGCCCGAATCCGCCGACATAGGCAAACAGGACTGGGATCCTGCATAAGAGGTACCGGAGAGAGAATAGTCATTCATCAGGTAAATTAAAATACACTTCGTCGTCTTGTACAGCAAACATGACTTATTGGAACAAAACCTTTTGATTGAACCTATCGCACTCTGGGTTGGGTAACCAAGCTATACAAATAGTTAACAGTTTGATTGTTATATGTTTAGTCAACAAAAGATACCCGCATTAGGGCATTAGGTCCTCCACTGCACTGTAAGACAAAGTATCATCTTCACTGTCGAGAGTTCAAAAAGTGGAGTGAAATTTTCAAAGAAATTACCGAGATAAATGTTAGAACCAAATTATACTGGCATTCACTAATTCGGACCAACCAGGTCACTACAGCTATTTATATGTTTCACAATACTCATGTGACAAAATGCGAGTCAAAAACGACTCACACTTATGGTTTTTCTTGGAAAATACGATTACCAGAAAGTGAATTTGATTACTACAGTACAAACTACTAAGTTTCTTAATTTGTTTTGCAGACGTAGTAAATGGTTATACCGGGTAGTTGCTTGATAATTTAACACTTTAGAGCACTAATCGTGTTCCGCTCGATTTTCTGGACTCCTTTCACTTTAACTGCCTAAGTGTGCATATAGGCCTTCCAATTGATCGACCTTGTAACGAGATTCCAGAAGCTCGTGGTCACATATGGATCACTAGAGAATCGTAGGACTATTCATCATCTGTTATGGTAATGCACAATGAACAATATAACCCCTGGGATAGAACATATTTATGACTGCATTTTCACTTGGCTGGCATGAAATAAACTGTACAATATAATGTTTCTGTAGTCCTGGTATACGCGACCGCATGCCTTTCCGAGGTTCTAGTATCTCAGTTTCAGTTTGTACAATCAATAACCATACACAATCGTGCGCCGGTTTTGGTTGCTGTCTTTTGGCTGCCCATTTAAATGAAGAATAGGATAAGATAGGAAAGTTGAAAGTAGAGTCGAACAGAAAATGGAGAATTTCAGTAGTCGAAGGTTGCAAAGAAACTGAGAAGATGCCCGAACGCCACTGTTTACGACACAGCCATATCAATTAGTGTCTCTAACCATCGGGTACGATCATCCCGTGGTCCCCAGTCAGGGAGCCTAACAGGAACTATGTAACCCAGTCCCCTGGCCAGGGTTTTCATACCCTCATGCCAGGTCTTAGTTTGATCACCCTTGGTTTTTTTCCCACCCACTACTTGCCTCGGCGAACATCGCTCTCCGTGGCAACCTATCTGGTGACATGCGTAACACATGCCCACATGGAGGTTTCCTGTATGCTAGCTAGCGCTTCATCCGTAATGCGTCCATCGTGTGAGATGTAACTGCCAAAATAACAAAACTTATCCATCTGCTCTATTACTTCCGCATTTAGAGTGAGACTGAGTGCTGGACCAATCCAGTCTTGTAGTAACATTTTGCACTTTGACGGTGCAAAATGCATACCGAACATGGCTACACTGGCATTCAGGCTGTCCAAAAAAGCTTGCAACATATCTGGATCTTCACTTTGTAGTGCAATGTTGTCTGCATACTCTATAGATCAGACAGTCTTCCACCTGGAAGTAAATCAATGCTGCTATTCTTGCACCAGGATAGGGCTGTTTCTATAATCAAATCTATAACGAAGTTGAAAAGAAAAGGAGAGAGAGCACCCCTGAGGAGCACCACTTTCTGTGGTGAACTCGGGTGAAAAGGTGCCGTTAGCCGGAACTCAACTTCGGCTGTTATTATTAAGCAATCGTAATATTGAAATTCACTTCTCGGGCACACCGTTTAGGGAAAGACAGCTTTAGAGGTTGGAGCGGTCGACTGAGTCAATACCTTTTTCAATTTAAGATATGTTGCTATGTGGATAGTAGGATAGTGCAATTGTCACGTCATTTCACATTGTCTCGTGATGCTCTTGTTGTCGCGTCTAGTTTGTCCGTGTGGTGAAGGCACGCCTGCTGTACATTCGAAGTTCACTGGGCCTGTCTAAGACTCGCGACTGTAAACAAGGTGTGGATTCTCACTCGGGCCTGCTGGGCGAGCACCAGGTCCCTTGTTGCGGCTGAACCATCCGACTGATCTGTAAATGAACCCGATCGGTCATGTGATCTTCGGGTCGGCATAAGCGGCGGATAAGCATTGAATTCGATGCTGCTTAAGTGTTGGTAGAGAATCACCGCAGGCTGATCAGTCATGGAAGGATGCGCCATGTGGGAACTTTGGAATGGAAAAAGTTTAAGCGATGACGACACGGGCCAACGTTTGACCCGTCTCAAATACACGTACTATTTTTCTAAGCCCGTTCGGTAAACAGATAAACATAGTAATAAAACTTGTCTTAAGTACGGACTACAATATTCACTAATGTGGGAAAAGGCAAAACTCTTCTTGTTTTAGTAACTAGCTTTTTCCCGTTGAACGATCTTGCTTACTACGGATGAGACAGAACTCCAAAAAAAAGAAAAAATATTCGATGAAAAAACAGTACATCACGGAAGATTATGGTGACAGTCTTTACGAACGTGTACACTGAAGATAAATTACTTGCATCAACACAATATCACCGAAGCATATGTATCTTTTATCTGACATTCTTACTCATTCTAGTTCCCATCTTGTTACAACATAACCAACAGCTCCAAGCCGTGTAACTCAACGGCTCCACATATTACGAATTAGGATCTTCTTTAATTGTTACGAATTAACTTAGTAGCTATTCTGTCTGAAAACACAAGGTTGGTGTGGAGGCCAACACAATGCACTAGTATAAACTTGACGGTAGTGTTTATGCGTTTCGTAGTCCTATTTGGTTTAAACCTTCTGGACGGGTGTTGAGAGCACCATCCCTGAGTTGAATCAAATGCATCAAAGTGTGCGTAACAAACAGACCCTAAGCAGTGAGTCTCATATAGAATGCAAAGCCCTTGGCACCACAAGACAATAATCATATGCAGTACGGTTCAAAAGTGTCGCTGTCGGAATATCAAAGTCACTTTACTTAGCAGTTACGTGAATAATCAACAAAAAGGAATCGAAAGCACTAACAGTCTACAAATAGAGTTCATATTCCAATACGAGGTTGTGCATGAGAAAGGTGATTTTCGTAGACTTTTTTTGAATAAAATGCTGTCTAAATGAGTGCAGCCTTTGGGGGAATTGTGTGTGACATGTGTGCCCTATCTATCATTCGATGGGATTCTCCAAGCATGTTTGAGTTCTACCCATGAGGTCCCGGGTTCGATTCCCAGTTGGGTCGATAGATTCGCACTGCTGATGATACCCAACCAGGTCGAAACAGCTGCTCAGTGCTTCCCAGCTTTTCAGCTCACGCCTCATTTACACGACGAATTCATCATCAAAACAAATGAAATCCTCCATTACTCTCATGCAAAAAAGGGTTGGCGGTAATGGTCTCCCAAATCAGTACTCCACTGAGTAGTAAAACACCACAATCCTTGATAGTATCAAGGAAATTTACATAAAATGCACTTAATCATTCCCGGTTTCTGTTATGTGCACTATTATCATTCTGTTGGTTTCAGGTAAAATGAGCATCCAAGTCTACAAAGAAGTGGAATACGTTTCCGAAGTCCACTAAACTGAACAGTATAAACAACACGGGCGATCTGGACCTACCAGGTGAACGTAAGACCGGTACTCCCTGGACCATTTTGTTGCATGATTTCCAATATGCCCGATCGGGTGAGTGTTGGTGAAGTCTGAATCAACGTGGAGAACACCGTTGCAAAAATGGTAATTGCACACAGCAAACTGGGAACAAAGAAGGCATTGGGAAAAACGTCAACGTCAAAAAGGAACAAGAGGAAAACCAAGATGTGAAATAAGATTAGTCAATTACTGGTGCCACAAAGATACGGTGAGTTGGAAGGTCATAGTGCTTTCCGCATGTAAGACACCGTCAAAGAACTTATTGGCACTATTGGTAATAATGCTAAGAGTAATTTGATTAAATTTTTATAAATCAAGAATTTCACAATCAAGTAGCATAAGGTCGGAATGTTAGAGGACAGTTGGGATATTTGAACATACAATACCCGAGAAAGTGTGGAAATAAACAACACCTGATGGCCATCACCAAAGAGAGTTCATTCGACATCTAAAAAGCTGACTAAAAGCCAAGCACCCAGGGGACTCCTATAAGGACTGGCAGCAGGATTTCGAGTAATTGGACATCCGCCAGAAAATACCTGTCTCGGCAGCACGTAAGTATGAACAAACAACACGGCAATTTTTTCAACTCAATTCAATGGTGCACTTTACTCATTAATTACGGGTAGAATTTTCAGTGAAAAAATGTTATCAATTTTGCTTTGGCAAGCGTGCTATTAGAAATGACATATTGTAAATAGACTAGAATTAGGAGAATCACGAAAACCCAGCAAATGTAAGAGATTGCAGCGTGACAATTTACATGAGATTGTTGAGTCTGTCTTCCACCCTCCACACATTTTCACACACAAAACTATCTAGCCACCTGTCTCTCGTTTTTGATTGTATTGACCCGGGCGTAGTATCGATCACCAGACATACACTTTTCGTTCGCCACGAATGATTGCATTTCTTCTCTCGCCCACCGAACTCGGGTCTCCCCTCCGTCTGCTCGTGACCATCGTCCCTGACCCTGTCAGGGTTTGAGTCAGTCTACCGTATGATTATTGTATGGGGTTGCCTGATCTTATTCGGATTGATCTCCTGCCTCGCACATGTTTCGCACCGTCCCATGTGCACATGTGCGCTTTGAAGTTATTTCATTTATCGTTGGTTCGTTCGACGGAGTGATGAACTCCCTCGTTTCCTCTTTGGTTCTCGATTGTTAGTGTTCATTTCGCCTGTTCAGGAATATCCTCCGGGAACACCACGATTTGGTGGGTTGCTTATGCATTGTAACGCTTTATATTTACAGTACCGCATCATTATTCGCTATTGTTTGGAGTCGAATAAACCTAGAACATTTGGACTTCGCTCCTAACGTTGCGCGCCACTCGTCGCTTCTTGGCTCTCTGAGTTAAGATCATGTGTAGTAAAAGCAAATACTTGACTTCACTTGACTGGACTTGAACGTTGGCCTCGATAGTCACTTGGATTTACCATAGACGGTGTATCATTTCGTATGAAGTTCATATCCTGAAAACCTATAAACGAGAAGTATAAGATACGGCGCAATCGTGAAAAGCTGTGGTGCGAGTGTGTGAAGGTTCAAGTTTATTGCAGGACACAGAAGTGGAAATGGAATCGACCTGCTCCAAATAAAGGACAATTCCATGTGTAGAGATGCTTTTCAGAGAGCGTCTGACCAATATGAAATCATTAGACGATAGACCGGGGAAGGTAACGGGAGAACAATAGATCAAAAGACATATAGAAATAATTAAAAAATGACCTGCAGATGTCGATGGTGTGAAATGTAAGAGGTTTCTAATTTTAAAAGATGTTTGTGGTATGCAGTAGGACGATTTGACTTCAGTAGATAGAACACGTGCAAGGTATTGGAGATGTTGTGATCTTTAAACGTTTAAGTTGGTGAATAATATGTTGGGAACAGATGATCCGGAAAATGTTGATGGTCTACGATTAATGGAAAAGAAAAATCCAATGCATTTGTTTGGGTTAAAAGGAAGGCTACCACAACTGGGTCATTCAGAAATGGATCTTATGGCTAATTCAAAGAGGTTGATTGAAGATGTGTTGTCGGATGCACCACCAACCACTATGCCAGCAGTATATTTAAATGTGAAAACGATATAAGGTGGTAACGGTATAATGTTATACCTTTAATGTTCAAAGTGATGGACTTTAAACTGGGATTTTGGTTTACACAGAGTACCAATAAAATGAACATATCTGGAGGAAACTGAGAAATTGCACGTAGATCGTGAAGTAGATTTCTAATGACTTGCATTTTTGTTTTCGAATGTGACATCGCCCTATCATGAAACTGCGAATCGTAGGATAAGACACCTTGTTAGTTGCTGTATCAGAGGAATAACGTTATCCTTAAGCCGTTACAACATACAGATCAGATCTAATGGAGCAAACATTATCTAAATAACATACCACTTACCTGACCATGTTATTGACCAATGGGATGGATGATCCAAAACGGACAGCTCCATTCTTGCGTGTGAAATAGGCTGAATAAGATATGAACAACGCCATGGCTGCTCCTGTATCGAAGGCATTTTGACTAGCCGCTGCCACCCAAAGAGACGGCGTAAGCATGCTTCCTTCAAAACGTAAACAGCAAAAAGAAGTTCTAGTAGTTCAATTTGGATGTCGATGGTGAGTTTCAATATCAATAGATTACTTTGACAAGGAATCTCGAAAAAAAGGTTCATTTTAAAGAGAGAAATTAAGTTTTGAAATATTCATAATCATTCACCAGGATATTTAGCGCTGTTCTTGTGCAGTGGAGAACGAATAAAAAAGGATAACATGGAAAAAGAGTTGTTGAGGTGATAAAATGCTACCAATTTGGACTTAAGTACCTGGGCAAATAGTGAAAAGAGTTAACGCACACTCAGAAAATTACTGATTTCTCTTTGCCTTTAATTCCAAAACGTTGCCTTCGTCGCATTTTGTTGATTTTTGCTTTCTTTTTTCTATTTCTTGCTTCAACGAATTACCAGGATAAAAAAATACTGGGGTATGAAACTACATGTCAAGCGGTCATACAAAGGAGAAACTTCAAACCGGAACCTAATAAACCTCTTTCCTTGGGATTTTACATCTCTCCAAACATAAAACAGCGAATTGTCGGTTCCAATCATCACCTAACCAACATCCTTATCAGTAAACAATGACAAGGAATAATTTTCCTCGAGGTGCCATACAATATCGATTCAAGTTCATTGTGCTCCAGCATTTCCTTCGAAGTTAATTTCCGTTTATCCGGTATTAGTGGATAGACGACTTCAGTGATGACTCAGTTGAACCTGGACAGTTGGTATATTGTCGGTATTGTGACGGTGGTCTCTTTGTGATTGGAGACTCGTAGATAACTCAATAAAACTTCAATATAATAAAGTACAATCTAATGGATAAGCGAATAGCTACTCAAAGCCATTGAACGCTTAAATTAGTAAACAATAAACCATTTATATAGTTTGTGAAACTTCGAGGACTCAAACTTCCAGCAAACAAACCGTAAATTCAAATTTAATTTACTGCGGGCCCAACATGACGCAATTTACAAATATTACCAGAACAGTATCTTGCTATTTCTAAGCTCAAGTTTGGTGCCTACGCATGATAACAGCCTTTGCCCTGATTGATTTCTAATTGTTTACAGGCTGGGAAAACGGACAATTAAAATGATCACTGCCAGTATAGTGTAGACCAATGGTTTCGTCGGAACCTGATAAGCACGCCCATTGCTTGTTTTGACTAAAACAGTGCATTGGGATTATGTGCCTAGGCTGATTCAATGGATTTACGTATTGGAACGTGTTTGAACGAAAGAGACTGGCACTGTAGGGCTTGGCAACCGTGCCAATAATATTCCATCATGAGTGCTAGTATCTAACTGGACCTTTTTGGTTGATGACGTTTTATTTGCTTTGCCCTGGCAGGTATATCTTTAACCCCGACCCACGATGGACTCAGTTGCCAGTGTTTCTTCGCCTTCCTACCGCCGTTCCCCGCCGTCGTTTGTCTTCCGCAAAGCCTCTTATGGTCTCCAGCTGCGATAATACGAGCCGCGGGACATCCTGCCGCGCATCTCGGTTCACTCCGCTGTGATGTGAGAGCCCGAAGTACGTTCGTAATACAGCACCATTCAAAAATGTCACACGGTATTACAATTTTGAGCGTGGACCAAGCAGTTGGTCAAAATGCATTTCATATTATGCGGATAAAAGAACAATTTTTAGAGCGCTTCACCTAATTGGTCGTGCCACATTAGATCATAAGTGTTTTATCCTGTAAAGAATAGTCATCAGAGGTTACGCGAGTATGAAATAACATCCCTCTAGCTACCAGACCAATAAAAACTTACTCCAATCCGGTGTGAATAAGAAAGTAATACCAACATCCGCGTAGGTTCGAGTCAGTGACCAACTGAAGGTAAAAATCAGAATGCCGAGTAGCATCGGCACAAGGATCATATTTGCTTTCTCAATCCAGTTGATCCCACCAAAGATGGCCACACCCACAATCACAACAGCGATAACGTGAGTTAACACGGGCCAGTAGGAATCCTGGGGAACATAAACAGAAGGCACGGTTGAACATGAAGTGTCTTTAGAAACACGCAATTTATTCAGGACTCAAAGAATATGCAGTGTAGAATAAAATGGTGACGACCTCCTACAGCTAAAAATGTCAAAACAAAATGGCATCTGTAATGTACGATTGTTAAATGAACATTATCCAAAAAAATTGTTACTGATCGATCACTGGGATTCTGCAGAGCATGGAAAAAATGTTTCACCTATCGTAAATGATGAACAAACGGATTCCTGAGGTATGCACGCATTCACAACATTACTTGCTGTAACTAGTTTTTATGGTTTCATAATTACAACGAATCGCTTTGTATCGTACCACCCAGGAAAGACCGCATAAAAATATTTGTGTACCGTTGACAGCTCGGAACGCATACCTACGCCAGAGAATCCACCCAGTTCCAGAGAAAACCATATGGGTTTGATCCGACAAGAAATTGCTGCACTTACTAAGATGATTTTCGGAGATTTATGCTAATTGCACTTGGTGGAACCCAACTCCGGACTGGGTACAAAACTGACAGCGAACGAAACTTGAGATGAAAAAGAATGCATGAAATTTGTGTGGGTAGAACAACGAGATGGTGGACGGCAAATCTAAGAATTATCAGACAAATGCTTCAATTTTTTTCCTATACGAATAATGCGGGTACTTTATTTACCTCTAAGTAGCACCTGGTAAGCATTTTCAACTCTTGCTTTTTTCTTCTTTAACTTTATGTGGCTTATTGATTTCTGATTCTTTGTTCTGCGGATCCGCTTTTTTAACGGACCCAAGCACGTCGAAGAGCTTGATTCGAACTTCCAGCCAACAGTACATCTGATGTTAGTCACATAAATAGCTGAAACCAGGAAGGTTAAACGGAGGTCGTTTCAATCAAACCACAGATTTATATTGTGAGGATAGCCATTAAAATTGGTCAAGTAGTGGAATTCGAGTGCGATTGATCAGGACCTGAAAGGCAACTGATTTACTTGGATTTACTTCACCGAGATGCGGAAGTACAACTAATAGCCAAAGTGCAAATTTTAATGCCAGGGGGTGGATGTTTAGCTCGTTAGCAAATAATCGGTAAATATTCTTTATGACCGTTTTATAAACGTTTTATAAGCGAAGGATTCATTCACTCAAGGAAATAGATTAGTTTATCTAAATAACACAACAGCCTGAACTTAAACTTTACATGATGCACAGTTTCGTTCAGTTTTCATTTCACGTGATCGGGCGGGAGTTTCAAATGTTAACCATTTTAGAAAAAAATGAGGTAAATGGAGGAAGTAAATATCTGAAAGAAGAACCAAGGTCGAAATCTCGTAGTCAACGGTCAGAAAAAAAGAAGAGACTTATATGATCAATCCCCCTGGTCAGAAGTTTTACGCTCTCATGCTAGTTTTCATTTCCACCACCCTTATGCTCCAAACACCCACCATCAGCTCCGGCAAACATCGCACGGCGAGGAATCTTATCTGGTGACATGGCCCAGGTATTGCCGTTTCGTCAGTGTGCGAAGATTCAGGTGAGCCTAACTTCAGTATGGTTTGTCCCTTTATCAATTCAGTTGAAATACCTATTGTCGTCTATTGTTTGTCATTATCCTTCTCCCGCAGAGGTTGAGTCTTTGGACCTTACGGCAGTATCAGCCGAAGTGCTGCAGCATCTGATCAACCCATACGGGATAGCCGGATGACGTAACTGGGACGAAAGTCTGATAATTCAACAGGCATTAATGGAATCTTTTCTATGCATGACAATATTTTATCTGGATTTGTCCGCTTGCTTAGGTGTTGCTGTCCTACTAACCAATGGTTTACATTTTCAACTTCATCTCCTCGTAGAGTGAAAGCGGGAAGTATATCAACCCAATTTATATTATATATTATATTTCACACCCATGATGCCAGACTGTATGCCAAACCGACCCAATAATGTTTAAGTATAACGCATTTTGAAGGGGGCACACGTGCCAAACGTACGTAACCAAATAGAAACGTGCCCCAAATACATGGATATCTACTCAGCAGATCAACATCGTCTGTCTACTTCAAATTAGGTGACGTGACACTTGGGAGCATAACTTGAGTAAACCGTTTCCCGAATCCTATTCAACACAAAGTCGACGAGTAAAAGAGAGAGAGCAATGCTGATAAACATAGTTTGTCGTGGTAGAATCAAGTGAGCACTAGCAATGTGCCTAAAGGCAACTTCAACTGATCAAATAACCTTGCTTTCTCACTGCCATATGGCAATACTTTTGTTTAACTGTAGTAGCCATTACATCACAGGTAATGCGATGACTCTAAATACTTATAAGCAAACACCATTCACCAGTTATACACTCCACTTTCAAACACAATTGTTTTCAAGCGTTAGTTTATTGAAGCTTGTTTTGGTCACCTATCTACAATTGACAGTGCTGTTAACTGATATGTTTCTTCATACCAAATCTGCTGATTTCAATATAACTGATATATAAAAAAGATTCATCAAGCTGGCAACCGCAAAATGAAATACTTGCTTACCCGAGCATATTGATTGAAAATCGCTGTACTTGTTTCCTCATCCAGGGGCAAACTTGATAAGGCGCACGATTTGTACAGATAGTATAGACACCAGCCAACAATAACGGAAAAATAGGCGCTGAGTTTCATCCGGGTAGGTATTCAAAAGGAGGAAAAGATATAGAACAGGTGCAGTTAGGTCTTGGAAAAAAATTCACGCGAGCAAGTGTAGGTGTGTTACTCTATACACAAATCCATGGTAAAAAACTAGAATTCTGAGGAAGAACTATTGGTGAACTAGGAGACATTAGAGGTTTGACAATAAGCAGCATGATTTGCTGCAGTTGGAAAACCTTTTATCAACCAGATGTTATCTTACTTCCAAACGCTTGAATTCAATTTGCATGTTTATAAGATGTTAGTTGATTGTGGCCATTAAAGACACACGGGTACAAAGAAACGTTCGGTGGGTACGGAGCACATATACCTCGAACCAACAAGAAGGACGTCTTGGGGTTCGTCTTTCACCTTGTCATTCAAGGTTTTGTCTTCTGGGGTAACAGATAATATGTGAGTCGGTGAATATAATAGAGGTAACTGAGCTAAAATACTATCGCTGCTGCATACGTTAGATAAAACTCTTGCTCACATTATTTAACTAACGACGCGGTCATAGATGTGAAAGCACAAATATACAAACAATTGCATGTGATCATTGTTGATGAAGCTTGTTGACAAATGATAACTGTAAATGAGTGTGCGATTGAAGGAGTGATGAACGGGCTCGAAAATATCTGTAATTGTGTGTGTTGTATCGTTTGGTTGTTTCGATGTTTGTATGCATGGATGACTGAGTGAATGATTGTGTGTGATCATTTCAAGAGAGTTTCTAAACAAAAATAGAGTAATTATTATATCGTACACTGACAGCCCCGAAACGCGCCTTTGGCGCCATTCAGCAGAGCAGCTGCGTCGGCTAGTTCCTTCACGTGATTATGCTTTGCCAAGCTGATAGCTGCGTGTCCGGGACTGCTGCGCCGAAGTAAATAAAGAGAAAACAGGACAACGGAAAAATTGGCAAGTTTTTGTCACACCTATTCCAGCAGAAAAAACAACAACTAAAGAAACCCAGAAAGTTGGACGGATCAAAACAATGTCTGTTTGTCTATATGGGACTTTCTCATGCACTGTCAAATCAGGAGGCTGGTTGGTTGTTGTANATGCAAACATGTTAATCGTTCGTTGGTGGACAACCACACAATGTTCAAGTTTTAAACGAAACATGTATATCCCTTATTTTGGAGAAAAAAATGAAAGCCAGAATCTTTCGTTACTCTGAATGATCTATGTTCAATAGCAGGCATACCTTAGCCAAGTTGGTGTATATAGACATGTATAGTAGACCGAAAAGGCTGTCATCTCGGTATATCAGTGCCCCTATCACATTGATTGCATTCCAGGAAATCATAGCAACATATGACTGATTCTCTCAGATTTCCCGATTTCCAAACAGTACGTTCAACCATCAACCATCGAATTTGGTTTTAGTGATATTCTGACCAAATTCGTTTGAATTTAAAAATGGATTTGCGGCATCGATAGAATTACAACTGACACCGCCCACGCTATTTTCCACACGCAATGTATCAAAAAGGCGTCAAGGCACAGCGGCATTGATTGTTTCACGTTTGGTGCCCCAGCAGAGACTACCAATATGTTCATAGGTAACACAATACGTTTTCTGCAGTCCGTCAAAAAACAAGGATTTGAACAAATTCGTGTTTGTTCAGTTGTGATATCTCAGACGCAAATTGGATACAGTTTTATACCATGATTAGAATGAGGGAAACTTGGAAATTCTCGTAAAAAACATAAGTATGATCGACCCTATTAAGTTTGTTGTTTGATCAACGGAAGCCTCCCGAAAGTGTACCGTCTCTATTTCTAAACCACTGACCATGTATGGGGAGAACCTGGCACCAGTTACTGAATCCAAATATTTTGATATCTAAACCTAATCATCAATCTGATTGGAACCTGTTGCTTGCCTTCTGTATACATCATGGCTCTGTAGACCTCACTAGTACAAGTTATGCAAAACCGAAAAACTTCAAACACAAACAACCTCTTTCTTTATGTGTCGAACACCTTCTCTTGTATTAAGCCATTCGACTTTCAAACAATCTACAGCACTGTTTAATGTATTGAATCTTCCTAACGTCCTACCAACAGCTTCACGCATCTAAGACTGAGTAATAGGATGAAATGGATTGCAAACAAGTGTACCATAATCATCGGTTTTGTTCTATGAATGAAACGCCGGAGCTAAGTAAGTTCGGCAATTGATATGATCAATGGATCGGGGATGGAAAGAGCTGATTAGCGCAAACGCAAATACCTGCTTCATCCTGATGTCCGCAGGAGACGATCTGGTTCACTCAGTCCACGGTTTGTGTGTTCGCTGCCCTACGTGTACCAGCAGAAGGACAAATTTACTTACGTGATCATATAAGTCACGCCCACAATCCATCCACCCAACCAAATCAACCTATTTCCAAGGAATTTGTGGAACGCGCCCAACGGAGATGTTCGTGTGAATCGACCAAGTGAGTACTCGACAATACTGAGGGGCAACGACCAGAAGAAAAGTGAAAATGCCCATGCGATCAAGAATGTAAGACTCCCTGGAAACAGGAAAAAACAAGCGTGGCAAAAAATATCTGTATAAAAGTAGAATCCAGTTCACTGTTTCAATAAAATGAGATACAAAACTGCACAAAATGTTTTTAAAACACATTGTAAAAATTCTTTGGTTGGATAAAATCCAAGTCTAGTGCATCGCTTCTCCAAACAATTACAGATTTAGGTAAAAATAAATTGCACGGAATAAATTACACTTTTGTGTCAGAAAACACTCGATATGGCCCATTCGGGATAGTAAAAGATCGGGATTATCAAGTTTATACCGTAGTCAGCTAAAATCCCCTGAATGTGTTTACCAAGTTTAATAAAAACTTAAGACTTTGATGCACAAAATTGCAGGATAAATTAATACCCTAGTCTAACGAGTTTCTACCTTTTTGCCTTTAAAACATCATCTTAACGAATGAATAGATCACATCCAAATTTACTTTCGTGAAAGATAATCGAGTTATATTCAATTCATAATTACTTGCGGGTAATGATAGGAGAGACAAATATCTTTGAATTTGACTGAACATTCTTCGGGTTTTATCCTCATGCACAATCCACAGTTTATCTAATAAACTCAGTGTTTTACTTTAACAATAGTATAATATGACTAACGAGATATACTTCATCTGAAGTTAAAACCTAGAAGATGGTCGGGTCAAATAAGGAACAAAGAGGCCAAACGTGACCAGATCTAACAGATCATGGGTTTGAGCACTATAAGTTAATAGAGAACCCTATGATATTTCAGCCTGATGGAGCCTCACTTGTTGAACAGGCGCGCACGAAATTCAATGCACCGAAATTCAAGAGTGATGAGGCACGCAAGTGATTTTTCTTATGTGACAGATGAAACTCACCCACAAAACATATTAAAAAGCATAAGTCTAAATTACGTAACAAACTTGCTGTTGATCGGATCCGTGAATTTTAATGTTTTGATAATAACTTACGTTTTATTGATTATCACGAGATACAAAGATTGGGGAGAGGCTGAATGATGGAGGAGGTTACGAACACACAATTTCCGAAACGATTATGGTGTCATCCTATGCCCAGTGGCAAAATTCGGCATGAATAGGACTTTTATGAATCTCTCAATAGTGTGCGTTTATTACACACTCACCATGGTTATCTGCAACTTTTAGCCACGCCTTATTTCACTAAGCCGTAGATTTATCTGTGTGAATGGAAAGGGAATTGTTCATGATTTGCCACGCATGGAAAATACTCCCTGCTCTTGTATTGGTACATAACTGCGATTTATTTGTTACCATCCGTATCATGCGTTGCTGAGCCCGTGCTATAATCAGTCTTGTGCAATAATACTCAGATGAAGTGCTGATTGCTGTTAACTTGTTGTGAGTGTTTATCACGGTGATTAAGTCAACGTGAGCATTGAAGTAAAAAAATTATCAAAAGTTAGATGAGTGAGATGTACTGACCGACACATTCAGATTTACCCTGTTATATTGCGTCCAATTTAAGAGGACGTAGAGCATCTTTGAATTGTAGGGTGCTTCCGAAGGACTGGTCGGGGGTGGGTGTCTCGGGTTGTGACTGAGCACTATACATTACTCTTTGCGAAAAACTCGCCTTTAACCGTAAAGTTCGACGTTGGAGGTTTTGATTACCGACCTAAGGGTAGACCGTGGAATTCAACCCCCGAATGCAATTCACAGCACACACTGCTCATGAATAGCAACAAGAGTGTAATAACTGCTCCTGTTCATTGTCGATCTTCCTAAAGATCCTAAAGATCTCTATTTCACGCTGTTGTGCATCCCAACTACCACATCCTCTGTTATGATAGTATTCGCTTTTGTATCATGCTTGTCTGAAAGCCGGTGAACAATATATACTTATGAGGGCTGCGCACAACGTTTCTTGATGTACATAAGGCTTTGTTACACAAAACTAGGCATTACATTTCCTCGAATAATTCTCCACCAGCGTTCGTGCACAGTTATATACGCTCAAACTGTTTTTTGAACCAGCTGGACCTTGCCAAAGTAGATGACCCATCGACCAGTTCAATGAAGGTCTCCGCTGCAGCTGTTGTGGATTCCTCACACCATGCGTTCGACATTTTAGAACACAAAAAAGGCACACGGAGCCGGGTCTGGTCCTTGGATGAGGCCTGGAAACATATTCCAGCACTTTCGGTAGGCAGTGGGTGGTTTTAGCAGTCTCGCGTGACTGTGCTTTGTTGTAAGAGCGGTACAATAACAAAATCACCGATTTCTACCATTAACAGAGTCACCATCTGCTTTGCCGCACTGCGCTCGCGTCGGAAGTTTTGAGACGGTACCTCACCAAACAGCCTGCACTGAGCCGATTGTTGCTTGGTCTGCGAGTTGAAACTGTACACCTAACTACCATCATTATTCATGACCTCCTTAACTACGTTGGTACTTCCACCATCAAACCTGGTAAGTATGGCGCGGAACTAATTCATCTGGAATGCGTTTGGTTCCTCATTGGGCTGACGGGGTGTCCAGCGTGAAAACGCCTTTCTGAGTCCGAGTTTCTCACGTAGGATGGTGAGGGTTGATCCCAGTGGGAACCTTAGGGATTTTTCCAGATGTGCCACGTCACCCAAACATACGACCCCAACATCACTTGCACCGCAGCAATACTGTCCACTGTGGTGGTTTCCACAAGTCAACCGCACCGCGTTTCATCATCCGGGGATCGCCTGTCCAGCTTGAATTCTGCTAACTACACAAACACAACACTTCTTGAAGGCGCGATATCACCAAAGGCAGCCCGCAAACGGTCGACACTATACTGCTACCTTAAACCATATTTATAGTGATAGAAAATCATCATTCTCCAGTTATTTTCTTACAGTACACGTATGACTTGTGATTTGAGCTCGGCTATTGATACTTGGTTCTTTGGGTTGCAATTATTGAACATTATTCACACTAGATTACAGTTCATGTTTTCCTTGCCCGGTCATCTGCACCTCGTACGCGTACTGCATACCCGGAAGCTTTTTCCCATGCCATCGTATGTAAGTAAGCTTAGTACTCTTAGTGCAGACCAATTGCTGGTACAACCGGCTTTTTCAAAGCAATACTCATTTCAGTTCGTTCAACCATTAACCATGCAGTTTGGTGCGCCGGTTTCAATTGCTGTCTTTTGCTGCCTATTTGGATGAAAAGTGGAAGACACTTAATCTGAAAGTAAAGTGAACGGGAAAATGCAGAATTTCGATGAACTAATGTTTCAAGGAAAATGAAAAGATACACAAAGGCCATTGTTTACCATACTCAGCCATATCCTTCATTGTCTCTAACTACCGGCTACAGCCATCCCCGGGGTCTCTAGCCACGGAGCCTAAAGCGACAGACAGAGTCATGACAAAGTCTCTCGGTTAGGGTTTTCATACCCTCGTGCCAGGTCCTCGTTTGATCAACCACGGCCTTTTGCCACCCACTACCTGCCTCGGCAGACATCGCGCGCTGTGGCAAACTGTCTGATGACGACGTAATCTATGGAGGTCTACCACTTGCTCCAGTTAACGAGCGCGAATAGCTAAATCTTTACGCCTAACCTTAGCATTGCTCGTCCGGTTGTCTCACCAGATTCGTGTAATACTTCGTAGGCCGCGGTGTCCAAACACCGGCAGTCTATATTATCCTGATTTCGTAATGGTCAATTTCCTACACCGTATAGGAGAACTGACAGAACTGCCGCGGTTTACACTCGACTCACCACAGGCAACCGGATGTCGTGATGGAACCATAGATGTCTCAAGTTGCCAAATACCAACCGAGCCTTCTATATGCAAGCTGTTGCTTCATCCGCGATGCGTCTATCAGGTGCGAAGTAGCTTCCCAAATGAAAAAACTTATCCCATTGATCAATTACATACCAGAGCACTGTGAGGTTGAGTGCTGGACCAAACAAGCCTTATAGACACATTTTACACCTTGAAAGTGCAAAGTGAGCTTTTCAAATCCCTTTATATTCCTCCACGGTAGTATTCTTAATCGTAGTTTACATTACTTAAAGTTAATCATCAACTTTGAGTTACATATTTTGATCCGAATTTTAGAGAATACCACAATGTCTGTTAACTCAGCACCTTGAAACGGTTGAGAGACGTCCTGGTAGAATTCATACTTCATTTCTGGCGAACTGCAATCAGTCGGTGCGTACACGAATTCGACGAATAAGCATCGTCGTTTTGTTCTGTAGCTGTTGATCCGTACTGGACCATCCAGATGTTCAGCGCAAAGTCCACTATTAACCGGGATACATTCGAGAGATGAACGTTTGGCCTTGGCACTTAACGCCATCCCAACACCAGCCAAACCGCGAGTTTCGGATGCCGAATCGCCTGATACAAAGAGAGTGAAGTGTAAAGTACTCAAACATTGAAAATTAGCTTCGTCTGACCTCTATCCATTGACCTTTCATGCATGATTGGATCTGAGGCTGAGAGGAGCCATCCTGTGTAGCTCACAGGGTTATGTAGGTACGCAAGCCATTGCACCACGTCAAGGTGCAGTCTCGTAGTGATGGTGTTCAAGAGGCTTGGTGATATCACTCAGTATACCTGGGAATCAGTATTTTCATTCCACACAGCCACGGTGGCCGTGGATCAGTTTGGTTTATTCAGGTTGTAAGAGTCCATCGAGATTCTTCAGCACAAATAGATCTGTTTGTACAGTGAAAAAAGAAGCTATCAACATCTTGCGGTTGAAAAACAATTTAAGCAATTTACTTCAAGATCAATTTCCGTTGCAAACTGTATTTTTCTGTCAGACATTTAGTTATCACTCACTCTATCTTGTGATGCTACGGACATTTTTATAAAAAATGCGCAAACCTTTTTCGAGCCATGTCGAAAACCATTTCATTACAGGAAATCTAGTTTTCATTCAATCTTTTACTCCGAGCACGAAATGAATTTATTCTTGTTTGTTTGATAAACACGAATTCCGCGCATGACTTCGTGCTCTTGAGGTGATTCAACATAGCACAGAAAGTCAATATATTTTCCCTTGTGCTGTCTACACCTTTTGCAATTCAAGTTGTTCGAGTATTATCTCAAGATATCGTCGAAGCATTTCAAACTGTGCTGATCTCGGACGCTTTCTGTAAAGATCCAAATTCCCACAAAAGAAACGACACTGCCTTACACTGAAACCACCAACTTCTTCACAGCGCTAGACTAAAATCTACCAAGTCCTCATCAACCACCGACAGCGAGGATCTATTGAAGACTGCGGCTGTTACTGGTCATCACCCGCGGACATGGACTATGCGCAGCTACAAACCAGATTCTGATCACCTTTCAGCTCAATCATCAACCGATGAGCTCAGGGAACCCTGGACGGCACTCAAGGACGCGATCCAAATGCCAACTAAAATAACCACGGATTCTGGCGCACGATCAAAGCATAAGCGATGGATCACCTCGACAACGGCTGCCATGCCGGACGCTTGTGAAGCCATTCCTTCCGATGCAGGTCACGACAAAGCGCGCAAATTCATTAAGCGACAGCTCATAAGGAGCCTGAAGGATGACCGCGAGGATTGGTGGGTAGGAAAGTGTAGAGAGATGGAGCAGGCTGTGACTATCGGTAATAGTTGCAATCTTTTTCGTTTAATTGGGAGTACGGTCCGAAGGAAAAAAGACGTGAGGTAATTAAGGAATCTAGCGTCGCACTGTTTCATATTCAGCGACACCGTCTTGGACGTTGGGCAGAACATTTCAAGACTCAGATCAGCTGGTTCCCGTCGACACAGGAAGAACTTCGAATGGGCAAATACTGCCAGTTAACATCAGTCCTCCATCTGAAATGGAGGAGGGCAGGAAATTATGGCAAAAGGTATAATGCTTCCTGCACGGAAGGGCTCTCTTTCAGTTTTTCAGGATGGAGGTTCAGCAGTCCCGTTAAGTTCTCTAGATGGGGACCTCGATATCATGATATCCGGTGGATAGAGACATTGAGTGATATGGATGGTTGTCGCAAACAGTGGCGCTCGTGCATACAATCATTATTCTTGCAGCCCAAGTCTATATGAATTATCTATCTTCTCATTGAATTTGCTCTCAAATTTCCAATTTTCATTCTGCTCTTTTTTCCTAATGGGCGGTCAAAAGACAGTTACGGAAACCGGCGAACCATAAAGCATGGTTAATGGTTGTAAAATCTGAAACTGTATCTTAAACACTATCGCTTGTGCATCTACTAAATATTCAAGCAACTTTAGTTTACCTGATTTTTGTACTCTCACGTTACATGTATCATTGCTAGGTTCGCTTAAATTCCTTATTTCTCAAGCGGTTAACCAAAAAAGCATCGAAAACCGTTGCTCGAAAGTGCATTGTTCAACATTGTATATGCTAAAAATGAATCTGGTCCTAAAGACTCGTTTCTTTTAACGGATGGTATGATAAGTTATGACCGCCTTTGCAAATACGAACTTAATCTAGGTGAATGCACAAAAATTGCTGGTAAATACATTTTTGTTTATGAGATAAGCAAGCATCTATTTACATTTTTTCATTGCATTTTAGGAGGTAAAATAATATTTTGGGGTTTAAAATCAAACTGATAAAAACTTCCTGAAAGTATGACCCGATATTTTTTGCTTACCGTTTGGTAAACATTGAGATCTTTCTTAAAGAGACAAGTGATGATTTTTTTGAAAGTAATAATCAGATTCTAGATTCAAACGTCCCACGCTCGCTCGCACTCCGCATATTCTGAACCGTTACGGTTTTACTTTGCACAACTGCGATCATGAATGTGTTGTACCGATGCGATGGCAAACAACGATTCTTTGTCAATCAATATGCACCGTGGTGAATTTCTCCAGGGTTTTGGGTAAGTGTACGCTAGCGGACATACTTGTTTGGGAATGTATTTTTCAATCAGGATTGTTCCTTCCCGTGGTTTTTGTGACTGAAATGTTTGCTAACATGTCTTCTATCTAACTAAGTGTTGTAATAAGTTTAGTGGATTTTTGATATTTCAGGTTTGCTTTCGAATGACGAGCGTTTATCATCCACTCCGATAAAGCTTTACTCGAAAAATTCAGAATACCAAATTTTCAAAATGCAGAAAATGTACTCACCCTGTGAGCAGCTAGCGGTTGCGATAATGCGTGGAAACCTCCATATATTACCTGTTCCCACGACACAACCGAGACACGAGAGTAGCACTCCAATGGAACTGTCGAAAGTAGACAGTTCCCCATCTTGACGATTCTTGGACTGTTTTCTCCGGTCTACGACTTCAGAAATAGTTTTTAAAGAAGACTGGATAGAAAGAAGAGAAAAATTTGAAAAGTGTTCCAAAAACGTTATAAAACTATTCACTAATTCGAGAGATTTTAGAATATGTCAAAGATCCTACACTCTGCATAAGAATTTGTGATGGTAGTACACGACTATACATTTACCCATCAAGCTTGAACCAAAACCCAGAATACTTTAGTCACGACCTATAATCCTTTAGCCTCGACGCACAAACCTAAGTCACGCCGCAGTATATACGTCAGATCAAAAGGTATCGGAATATTCTGAAGTCAACGGATGTTAAAAAAATCCATTGTCTACCAATTTTGATGTTGTACAGCTTGTTTACGAAATACGGTGTGGGGGTAGCACGCTGCATTCCATGTTGACAGGAGAAGGTTCTACCGATATGCTCGTATCGTCAAACCAGTTGGCACATCTGGTATAGCTTAAATGTTTCTGTATAACATGCGATACCCCTTTGAGTAAGAATGTGAAATGTAGATTACTGTTCAATATTTTCAATATCCTGATTATGAGCAGCCTCTGGTTGGTGTCTTTGAGGTAATCTGGACACAGCTTTGAGGAGAAATCGTCATATTATTTCCACAATGGATCTCAATTGTATCTTTGGGAAAAGCGGGTAGTATTCTAGTCTGTCCACAAATAATGCAAAGTTTACTGCAACCTCAATATTTAGCAACTAAACAGCACACGATTATAAGTGATAGTGTAAAATAAGATCTCTGAATATTTGAGCACATAGATCAAAGATAAAAGCATGTGCTATGTAACGCACTGATGGAACTAGATTTCTTTGGGTGTTGATCAGTCGCGAATGGAGGTATATTTATCTAGTCTAACTAAAGTTCGCTTACTCAGTCAATGGACCAGTGGAAAGAAGTAATGAAGTCAAATTACCTTCATTTATTTTGACCACGAGAGAATCAAGTAAAGTTACTAAGTTTAATTCAGTCAAAAAGAATGAAACATTCAATGATAGTCGACAAAAGTTAAACACCGTAGACTTATCATTAGAGTAATTTGTCATGACTAACCGGCTACAATTAAGAAAACCTAAATGTGAACACATGTAGAAAAAAATTATGGTTTCCAATATTTTTTCTAGTGCAAACAATTACCATGTATAAATGGTTGATACGGTTTAAACACGTGGTATAGTATATGGTATATGATGCACAAACAATGAATTTGTCTGCCTTGCTACTTTACTATAACCAAATGAACATATCAAAACGGATCATTTTATTTACGCTAATCTGAACCCAATAAAATTTGCTTTGAACTTCGATAGCACAACAGTTGCCATTGTATTCATGATCAACCTGAATAAGGACCTAACTGGAAGAAAATCTATGGAAAAATGGCTGAAAAATATTTGTAGGGTTTAGTCTATCTCAAAATAAACGCGAATACATGTGCTTTAATTAGCTATAATGAGAACAACTATTACATCTTGCGTTAATTAAAAAAACTAACCAACATTCTGGCAATCTGAACTGATTCATCAACAATTAAACACTNTTAAACACTGTTGAATTATCAGTTTAAAATTTCGAATTAACTTACGAACTGGAATACGGATTTCAAACTTGCACCCGGGTTTGTAACATCATTCGATCTGTTTAGGTTGCACTTTCCGCTCAAGTCAGACAGAAGAGTAACATTAGAAACCACACAATTCTTGTCCGCTGGGACAGACATGGTGCTATCCACAGAAAAACTGACAAACGAGCCAGACCCCAATCGAAGCAAATCAGTCTTCCCACGAGGGCGACTTAAATACAAACAGTGCAATACGCTAGGCCACTACGCTGTCGTGCATCAGAATGATGCCTATTGGTCCATCTCTCAACCCGGTCTAATGGTCATTCATGGATCGGCCATCACAGTGTGTCTGTCAGTCGCGCGCAGTCTTCTGATTGGTCATCCTATGGTGGTGGAAGGTCGAATTTGGAAAGTATAACCGCGCGATTAGGAATCCGTAGCCTGAGCGTCCTGAAGCTTCGTGTGCAAGACTTCTTTCTATGAGATGCTTACTGTCGGGCAACCAGAAGCACTGTATTCTGATCATGAAAGTGCGTTATCAGGCGATGCATATAACCAATGCAATATTACAAAATTCCTGATTCAGACGTACTGTTTTGTGCTCTTCGTTTGAGGGTTGATTACTGTCCGGTGACCCCTGATAAGAACAGGTATGTACACGAGGTGCGATTCCAATCAGGGGAAAGCTTGGAGTACGGCACTTTTGACGCAAAACTCCATAATAGACAACCTCTGGCTTTTTAGACGTGCTTTCCATGTTTGGTGCGATCGTGAGATAGTACTAGTCTGGTGACTGCGTTTAAAATTAGGATAATCGATGACCACACAGTGCATAAGTCATTCTTTTTATCCGCTTATACTTACATCCAACAGTGTATTGTGCCTCTCAGTGAAGCAAAGCTGTTGCACTGACTGGATTATACTCAACGTTTTTTACCATTGATACCAAAAATTACCACTATAAAGGTCAGCATTTCTGAAATCCAGCAACCAAAACTCATTTTCACCAGCTCTTGTAACAATTTCTCACGCCTTGTTGGTTAAGATTGAAATAACTGTAGTAAGTGTTCACTTTGAACAATTGCTGCTGAACTTTTTACTTTTCAGGCTCTTTGATGCTTTAAGTTAAGTTGCGTGTTTCTTTTAGGCAACCAGAAATGTGAATAGTTCTACCAACTTGCCGGTATAGTTGCTTTTTTCGGCCCCAACGAAAGTTATTTCTCTTTGTTCTCGTAGCTTCTTTAATTTCAGGCTTGTGAAAAACTCACCAGCTCTAATGATTTTCCCTTGATGTGTCAACAATGATATTATATAAACCACTAAGTCATTTATTTATTCATTTACTTTTTATCTCCTGGTTACAATCCTCCAGGTAAGATAGGACAGTGTGCACAGGCTGTATTGTTTCTCAGCAGTGACCAACACCCAATGCCATCCTTTCTTTAAGTCATCGAATGCGTTCTGCTTTTCACTCATATCCACCGCCCGTCGATAGCAAGTGAGAATTGGGGTTTTTAAAAGCTTCTTTCGTGTTTCCCGTTAGGACTAAGAAAATATATCTCATTTGATCAGATAAATATAGTACCCTAAACTTATTCCCGTTCTGTATGTTATAAAAAAGAAAACGCTTTTGATTTCACGCAATGGATTTCGATACACCACTTCAAATGGACTGCACCTTAGTGCGTCTACTGATTGAACACTTCCATAGAGCCCTTTAGTGAATGATAGTCTCATGTAGGATTTCAGCTTCTTCACAATGAGGGTAAATCCATTGTATTCACTGTGTTTCGATGGTACGCAATATGTCTTGTTTGATACCATTGTGTAAATGCATCACGCGCAACACAGATTGGCTTTGCATACTTTCCCTCATTGCCTCAGTAGGCTTCGGGATTATCCAACTAAGTAGCCCATCAGACTGCCAAATTCGACTCCATCTTCTTTTGCATTTAAAATGTTTGGATCATTTAACGAATGGTTGCCTCAAGTTGCTTCATTTGCTGTTAGTCACAATAATCGCTATAACTTGTGATTTTTCAATTAGGTTCCATGGGTGCGACTTCTTCCAACGGGCAAGCTCCTCGTGCAGCATGAAATAATTTTGTTCGTGCATGCGATGCGGGCACCAGATGTGGTTGACATAAGGTGAGGATTATAAAACAAAACG